CTTTTTTACTTTTTAGTTTTTATATACTAATTACTATTTCGTTTCGTTTTCGTTCTCACCACCCACCCCCTACCCCTCCCCCCCCGAAAAAAAATATTTTTAATATATTTTTCAGTTTTAATTTTTATTTATCAATTTAAAAGTTCAAAATTTTACAAGTTCCAAAGTTATGAGTTGCGAGGTTTACGTGTTTGGAAGTTTACGGGTTTAGAAATTATAAAGTTTACGGGTTAGAAATTCCGCGGTTCCGAAAGTTTAGCGGTTCGAAAGTTTATGAAAAATGTGGGTTCGGAAGGTTGTCGGTTTGAAAGTTTATGGCTTCATGTTTATTATACCTAAATTATTTATGAATACTCTTGAGAAGTCATTTTCCTTAATTTGCGTACCAAACACCAAAAAATGAATAAGATTACTACTTGTTTTCCAAGAAAACATTTTCCACAGAAAACATTTTCCATTATACCAAACACACCCTTAGTTACCATTTACCAAACACCATAAAATAATGTGATTATTGAAATAATATTTTATATTAAGATGAAAATCAATAATCTTTCTTTTTTGCTTTCTTTATTCTGAGAGTTTTGGATGCGGTGTTGTCAAAAGCGAAAAGCTCTAGAAAGCGCTCCAGGTTGATTGAGGCTTTAAGCGCAAAGCGCAACTAAAATGTGCGCTTTAGTAAAAAACGGCGCAACTAAAGGAAAAAATAAAAATACATTAAGTAATTCAACAAAAAAGAAACATATTTACTCCTAATGTTTTCCTCAGCAACTAATACAATTATTTGTTGATAATCTTTGTTGTTTAGTACCGCTCAGTTCAAGATAGAACTCATGGGCATTGAGGCACACACTTTAGCGACTTGCCTACACTGAAGCGCAGCTTAAGCGAGGCGAAGCGCCCTCCTTGAGCTTTTTTGAGCTTCAGGGCTTAAGCGTGCCTTTAATGAGCCTTTGACCTTTAATGAGCCTTTGACATCACTGTTTGGATGTATTCCCCCTTGTTCCTGATGACTTGAAACTGCTTATTTACCCTGCTTCCTCCAAATGACGAAACGATCTTCGCTTTTGCTTTAGGCACTCTTGACACTACAACGTAAAAGACGCAGCAAAATAACTGAATAGTGCCGATATCTATTTGGTTGTGCACATACCAATTTTATGAGTTAGACAAGTTAGTATTCCTTCATAACTAATATTTCTGAGTACATTTCTAGCATTGACTTTACACATGAGAATGAGATGTTAGGAAAGGTCTGATCTTGGTATTTGCAAAGAGCCATAACCCCATGTAAAGCTATTGATTCTGACTTGACATCCGAGCTACCTCTGCAATCATGCGTGCAGCAGCGGACTCCCTTGCTTCACGCGGTCTCTCATGTATGTTGCTTTCACTGGTAAATTCGAAATCTGCACCTTTCACGATGACTTTGGCTTGAAATCCACCTTTAAAGGAGCAAATACTGACAAGGATTAGCTCAACTTTGCAGAGTACTGGAGCAAGACATTTGAAATTTGGAGAGTGCTCACTTAATTGAACAGGTAATTCAAAAACAAAAATCAAGATTCAAGGCTTCAATTAGTAGAATGAGAGCTGGAAAGCCAAGCAATACTAGACAAATTGGGAGATGACTCTTCTGCTGTAGCCACATGATCTAATTTCTGGGGTAGAGTTAGGCCCAAGGTCCATTTCTTCACTAGATCAAACCGATTAGAAAAAATATGGAAGAGAACATGGTCAAGAATTCAGAATAAATCTTTCGCATGCCATCACAGTTGTGGAAAAGAAATCTCATCAAAAGTCTCATCACAATCAATAATAGCAATAGCATGTATCATTGATATAAAAGAAGACCACTATATCTGTTTGAGGTAGATGGGAAAGTTTAATATCTTACTCTCAAATGGAAAGACTCGATATGTTGGCAATGCCCAGTTACTCCTGCAGCACAGTTGATCCAATTGCTGCAGACATAGAATTGAAGAATAAATGCGTAGATGTTACATATATGCAGCCAAGTAAAAAATCAGAATAAAGAGCAGACACTAATTACCTTTAGGGAAAACAATTGACGACAGGATTTCAGAAAGAAATAACCAGTTGAAAGTTCTTATCTTTGCCATATGCTTATCCAATACTAAAAATTTAATATAAATAACCAAATGCATTCAAGTCAAAATAACTGCTGACTTTCTTAGTTCAAATAAAGAACATACAACAACAATAACAAACCCAGTGTATTCCCACAAGTGGGGTCTGGGGAGGATAGTGTACGCGGACCTTACCCCTACCTTTAAAAGGCAGGGACAAATAAAGTTAACATGTCCCTTATATTTCCCAATAATGACTTCCTATGTATATTGAAGGAAATATTAGAAATACCGAACATGATGAAAATTTTCAACCAACAACGGAGAACAGAAAATAAGAAAAGCGAAGAAACAAAAGGAAATGTCAAATTCGGATGCCTCATCTTGCCTGGCATCGGTTTTGCAAAGTAAGAATGGCCTCGGACAATCTTTTTCCCTTGCTATAAATAGATTGGTCTTCTACCAGTTGATTGGTATTGTACTCAACTCCTTCACCTTTCACACACGCGTCATTACAGCCATCTACGAGAGCTTCAATCTTCAATGGTAAATCATTTTCACCCCCTGCATATAAATTAAGAAAGAATTATGCTGACAGTTCTCAGACCATTGGTTTAAACCGATGCTATTCAAGTGAAAAGTCTCCCAGAGGCTGACATAAACTATCAAAAATGGGTATCAAAACATCAAACATTAGCAACAGATAATGCCACCTGTCATAAGAGAGAAGTTACCAGAATGTTTTCTGTCCATTGTTTTTCTCAGTTCCAATTAAACCGACAGAGAAATGTCAGCTATGTTGCTAATTTCTTAATAAAAGAATTTCCTTTCATTATTTATCATCTTTTCAGTATCATTCTTTAAGAAACAAAAGGGCCTTGATTATCTCATAAAATCTGAAACTTACCAATAATGCAGCTTTTAGATCTATGTTATGCCCGCATCTCTAGAAAGAACAGAGCGGGTGTATGATTGAAGATAACTAATTAAGAGATAATCAAATTTTCTTTCCTCCTTTGATCTTTAACTTTCATAAATGTGGAGACACCACCAAACTTTACCCTGAAATATATTTGATGGACTAAGCTGAGCTTTGACGTTTGCAGGCTCATCCATTGACAGACCTTTTCACATCCTACAAGTTTCAACCTTTTCCGTACCATTTGCATTATTGTTCATGTCGCTCTTTATGCTTGTTTCTTGTCCATATAACGTCTCTTCCTTCTCTTACAAAACCGATGAGTTTTAGTAAGGCATGCAGTATCAAGTGAGAATCCTCTCTAAACATACACAAAACTTTTTTCTTTTTGGTTTCTTGATAAGCTATATAAGAGATTCTTCAGAAGTATAACACTACACGTGTACTGTGT